TTTTATGGAAGGTGCGTTACCAGGGAACGTGTACAGCATCAAGAAGATTGTTCTTCCGCCGAGATCGGAAACGATTGTTCCGGTTAGTCTTCCTCGAAACGCTGGGCAAGCTCACCGTTGTGTACTTGTGGAAAGGGTAAACAATGACCTTCCATGGAAAGTAGCTCGAACCTTGGTCAGGACCACTAACATCTCAAGAGTACGTGTGCTGAACCTTTGCGACCGGGAACACATTATAGAAAAAGGTACACTGGTTGGTACTTGTGAGGAAGTGGATTGGTTACGTCAGTGCCAATATATATCGAGTGGGACCCCCAGCAAGGATTCAGAAACGAGAGTGACCACACTTTTGGAAGACTGTCGCAGTGTTCTGTCCCCGAACGAATTGGTCAAGGCGAAGAAGTTGTTACTCGAGTACGCCGATGTATTCTCATCAAACGATGCTGACATAGGAAAGACTGGTTTAGTTCAACACAAAATAAACACAGGTGAAGAGTTGCCTATCCGTCAGCGGCCAAGACGATTGCCGGTAGCACGTGAAAAGGAAGTGGAAACCATGATTAAGGGAATGGTGAAGGATGGTGTCATTGAACCTTCATCTAGTCCATGGTGTTCACCCGTGGTACTGGTAAAGAAGAAGGATGGCAGCTTGCGGTTTTGTGTTGACTACCGCCGTCTGAACGACGTTACTAAGAAGGATAGCTATCCCTTGCCAAGAATTGACGACACGCTGGACATGCTTACAGGAGTAAAGTGGTTTAGCACGCTGGACCTAAAAAGTGGCTACTGGCAAGTTGAAATTGACCCTAAGGACAAGGAGAAAACTGCGTTCTCGACGGGAAAGGGTCTGTGGCAATTTAAAGTAATGCCGTTTGGGTTGTGCAATGCTCCAGCAACGTTTGAAAGGCTGATGGAACTTGTACTTACCGGGCTAATTGGCGACGCCTGTCTGGTCTACTTGGATGACATCATCATCGTGGGCCGTACGTTTGAGGAACACCTTCAAAACCTGGAACGCGTGCTCATGAAGATTAAGAGTGCCAACCTCAAGTTGAGTCCGAAGAAATGTTCACTATTCAAACGGCAAGTCAACTTTTTGGGGTATGTAGTGTCGGAAGAAGGTATCCGCACGGATCCAGAGAAAATCGCAGCTGTAAAGGATTGGCCGGTTCCAAAAGACAAGACGCAGGTTAGAGCATTTATGGGTTTGTGCTCCTATTACCGACGTTTTGTGAAGAACTTTGCAGATATAGCCAAACCTCTACATAAGCTAACCGAGGAGAAGCGACATTTCTGCTGGGATGAAAGTTGTAATATCGCATTCCAGGAGCTCAAGGACCGTCTGTGCAAAACACCTATTTTGGGATACCCTGATGCAAGCAAAGAATTTATAGTTGACACAGACGCAAGTGATATAGGACTTGGCAGTGTGTTGTCTCAACGTAATGGTGACCAAGAGTTCGTGATAGCGTACTTCAGCAAGTCGTTGTCAAAACCGGAATGGAACTACTGTGTCACAAGACGCGAATTGCTAGCTGTGGTAAAGTCGTTGCAACATTTTAGCAAATATCTTCTGGGACGAAAATTTCACTTACGAACTGACCATGCTGCACTAAAATGGCTATTGCAGTTTAAAAACCCAGAAGGACAAGTTGCGAGGTGGATTGAACTACTGCAGGAATACGACTTTGAGATCGAACATCGCAGCGGGAAATCTCATGGCAACGCAGGTGCATTGTCAAGAAGACCTTGTCCTGAAGATTGCAAACATTGTACTAGGCAAGAGAGTAAGGAAGTGGTATCCGTGAGGATGCTCAGGGCAGACCACCTCAGCAACGAGTGGAAGGACAGCTTACTACATGCACAGCAGGAAGATCCGGACATCAAGCCGATTCTGGAATGGATAAAGACCAGTGCTCCCAAGCCCAAGTGGAGTGACGTCTCAGCGATGAGTTCGACCACTAAAAGCTATTGGGCCCAGTGGGACAGCTTGCTGCTTCAGGATGGAGTTCTGTGTCGTAAATGGGAAAATGTTCGGGGAGACAGCTATCATTTGCAAATGGCTGTCCCTAAAGCTAAAGTACCGGATGTTCTACAGCTGTACCATAATGATTGTTCAGGAGGCCATCTGGGAGTTAAACGAACTCTACTGAAGATCCGAGAACGGTTTTACTGGGTCCACTGTCGAAACGATGTCGAGGACTGGTGTCGCAAATGTACAAGTTGTGCGGCCGTAAAGGGACCTCAGACTCGTAGTAGAGGTGCATTGAAGTTGTACAATGTTGGTGCACCATGGGAGAGAATAGCTATTGACGTGGCGGGGCCGTTTCCGGAGAGTGAAAGCGGTAACAGGTATTTCATGGTTGTGATGGATTACTTCACTAAGTGGCCAGAAGTCTTCGCCATTCCAAATCAAGAAGCTTCAACAGTTGCTGATAAGCTAGTTCATGAAGTCTTCTGTCGTTTTGGTGTACCTTTAGAGATTCACAGCGATCAAGGAAGGAATTTTGAGTCTCAAATATTCCAGGAAACTTGCCGAGTTATGGGTACTCATAAAACAAGAACGACTTCTTATCACCCGCAATCTGATGGAATGGTAGACCGATTTAATCAGACATTGGAGAGGTACCTAGTAAAAGTTGTAGACAATCGGCAACGAGATTGGGACAAGCACATACAACCGTTTTTGTTGTCATATCGAAGCGCTGTTCACGAAAGTACAACAGTGACACCAGCTTTCGCAAACTTTGGAAGAGAATTACGGCTGCCTGCAGACCTGATCACCGGGATACCGCCTGATGCTCCACGCAGTATAACCGATTATGCAAATGACTTGCGGAACAAAATGAATGACGTTTATGAGCACGTCAGACAATCGGGCCAGCAAATGTCTGAAAAGATGAAAACCCGGTATGACCGCAAAATGAACAACAAAGGGTTCGACGACCGGGCGGTGCTGTTGGCCGCACTACCCTCCTGAGATCGTTCAATTTCCCTTTCTAGGGTTCGCTTAGGGCAGCTGGATCGAAGATGGCCCTTTTCCCCACAGCCATAGCACCTTGGGCTGTATCCTTTGTTGCGGTCGCGAACTGTAGCTGCTGCAACCTCACTGGCGCGATGGGAACGATGATCCTGCCGCACGGCTTCCACTTCCAGTGCATGGGCCAAGGCGTCCTTAAGCGTCTCGTGGTGCCCGAGCCTCACAGCAGCTCTGACTTCCAGGTCGCGGATGCCGTCGATGAATGTCTGCACCAGGTTCCCTTCAATGAGCGCAGGTACAGACCGGTATGCTTTTCGCACCAGCTTCTCCACTTCTAGAGCCCACTGCTGCAGGTTTTCGTTGATGCGCTGCACACGATCTTTAAGCTGCGCACGAAAGACGTGTTCCAGGTGAGCGTCGCCATATCTCGCCTCCAATGCCTCAAGGAGTTGCTCATAAGTCACTTTCTCACCGAGAGCTTCCAGAACTGTTAAGGCCTAGTCGCGCAGGCCTAGTGTGAGAGCAGTCATGGCCTGACTTTTATTCCAGCCGTTCGCCTTCATAACAGCCTCGAACTGGATTTTGTAGGCTGACCAGGAAGAAGTCCCGTCGAATGGTGGCACCTTGAACCCACGTAGCGAAGGTGTAGTAGCTACTACGGGAGCTGTAGGTCCCTCCCCAAGTTTGAGTTCGTCAAGTGATTTCCTCATGTCAGCCATTACGTTGTCAACCCGATTGTTCACTTGGTCAATTCGGGTTTCAGCTTCCGACAGGCGGTTTTCATGTTGAGCAACCTTATCCTTCACCTCCCTTATCTCTTTCCCGAAGGTAGCGTGAAGGTCCTTCATGAGAAGCATCCGTTCTTCCTGGCCGCCCCGCAGCTGCTCTTCCAACCGACGGACCTGTTCCTCCTGTCGGCGAGCCTGTTCCTCCTGTCGACGAGCCTGTTCCTGTAGCATCGCCATCAGAGCACCTAAGTCAGGTGCTGCAGATGTAGGAGCTACTGACGGGCCCGCAGCCTCCGTGGCTGGCATTTGGCCCTCCGACGTCTGCGGCGTTGCACCACCAAATCTCCTCTAGTCCGTCTCCTGCTGGCGTTGACTTCGGGTACGGACACCCTCCATCTCGTCTTTAGGTTAAATCGGCATGATTTTATCCCACTTCTACACCAATTGTTACGAGCTTGAGGTTCGTGACAATAAAAATTGCCGATAAAATTACCTAAATTAACACTTTAATTTACTTTACACAAATTAAAACTAAAAACACTAATAATTAAACACACTAATTCACTTAATTCCGCTCCGAAGCTTCGCTTGTGTCGCCGAGTTCAACTCTGCCCGATCGCATCTTGCAGCGCCTACTTATATAAATTAGCAAAATATCCAGAATGTTCAAGTAAACACGCGCAAGGTACCGAGAGTTCGAGTTTTAAACTTCAAGAAGTTTAGTTCTTCGGTTCGAGACTAGATGGCGCTAGTGCGCCGATTTTAGCGCGTAATAATTGTATAATGAATACCTAATTAAGACGAATTTTTTTATGAAAGCGATTCTGTCATTTTTAAAGCAAAAATAAATAAATAAATCGAACTTACAATTTGACACCAAAGGGGAAGTTGATAGGAGAAAAAGGGTTAGACGTATCGCATACACATTCATAATAGATGGAGGAGGTAAATTGGCCTCTAAAGCCATATTGTGTAACACACAACAGGCTTGTACAATTTTCCCAGCAATCTCAGGATGATTATGCAAGGTCCTGTGTCTTAAATACCTCCAATGTGACTTTAGCAATCCAAAACAGCGCTCTATACAGTTTCTTGCTTGTACATGTCGCTGAGTATATGTATCTTCAACTGAGCCAGGAACTGCATTTAATATGGGAGTCATCAGCCATGGCCGCTGAGGATATCCAGAACCACCTAAAAATACATAAATAAATATTTGCATTAGGTAATAATTATTTGCTACGCAACAATATAATTCTTTGTGAATAAAATGTTTTCAACAAAAGTGTTATCTAAAAATATACCATATTATTTATTAACCTAACTAATAACCACGCTTGTTCTCCATTTTGGTGCAATTTTCGCATAAATGTTTCCATTCTGCTATGAATGAGGTTAGCTCCGTCAAACTTTGGATTTACATTAGTAGTTTTTAAATTACTGTTGCATACCTGTTGACAGGAAAAAATTATGGAACATGTATAATAATCCTATGAATATATTTCTGTACCTAAGTACTATTTAAAGCTATTTTTACATAATTGAGCCACAAACAAATGTAAACTTACTATTTGTACATTCAATGAATGATAACCTTTCCTAATAAAAAATAAATGTTCTTCATCTGATGGCTTGACTATTGCCACATGGGTACAGTCTATGCATCCAACTATACCCGGAAGTCTAAATCGCCTCTGAAATATGTAATTTTGGAAAATATAATACTTATTTATTTTTTTTTGTTTTTAAAAGGACAGATGTTTTTACTAGTGTTTTGAACCTAGTGTGCATGAAAGGCTCAATGAGGCATTTTCTAAGTACCTATTGGCCATAAGGAAGGTATAGTGTTCAGTGTAAAGTACATCAAAGAATATGCTACTAATAAAAAGTATTTCAAGTATGTATTTATACTTAAATACTTTTGTCATAGCATAACTTACTCAAGTCTTATTTGGGCTCGTTGTTGTTGCGACCTTGGAAACAGAATCCATTTATTTAGAATGGCTTTGATACAAAATTAAAGTTTATTCACTGTGGATAGATACTCGTACATAATTCATCTTCGGTTTTCGACAACATTGTTCGACTATGTATCACTTACTGATTTCTATTATTAAATTAAGATTTAAAGTAGTATCTAGCTTTTTATATCAGAATAATTAATATATGTACAACATGAAAGTATACTCGTTTGGAAATCGAAGCCGTTTATTAGATCCAGTATTGACCAAATGTACGGAGAAGACAATTTTTATCATCTATTTCGAGTGATTGCCGTAGTGAAATTTGTTAATTTTATTTCGGTTCTTAGCGCTATCGGTATTCATAAGGCAAAAAAAATTAAGACACGAAATAAAATAAATATGTTGACAAACTGCTAAAGCTTAAAAGAAACCATAACAAAATTTGTGCAGACTGATGGTTAGAATCATTAGAAAGGTACATTTTAGCTTCCAGACAAACATTATTTCACGTTATATACCTAAAATACATATTTAAATTACCTACGCATACCTATATAGCTCTATTTATTTTAGGATAAAATGCCTCCAAGAAAACGAGATCGTAGGAAACTTGCGGCAAGACCATACATGAATTTACTGGACTGCAAAGTAAAATCACCGTCAGTCTGTGGAAATTTAAGTGACATCGAAAATCCAGATGACAGAAATAAAGACCACTATGAAGTGATTTCTAGTGGATAGAATTAAAAAAGCGTAATAAAAAGGTACATAGCAAGAAAGAAAAGAAGAAACCTATTAAAATATCAAGAAACGTAGAGAGCGGGTCACCTATTAGAAGATATAGAAATTAGTTTACATAGTGAGTAGTGACAGTTCATTATAGATATTGATCTTGAAGAAGATTAATTGAACAAACAAGTTGATAGTAAATCACTAGATCCACCAATTGAATCGGATGAAGATGTAGCAAGAAATGTGTATATTATTGAAACAGGAATATTTGAAAGGATAGATTAGGTAGATACAGAACTGGAAGGCTGTGACATGAGCGACTCACAAATATTAAATAAAATTTCAGAGGTGGCGATGAGTATATACATAATAATATTAAAATTTTAAAACCCAAACGAGTAGATAAAGATTCTTCACTGCCTGAAAATTGCATTGTAAAATCTATAAATATACTGCAAATATCAGAAAATCCTGACGAGTATATTGTTTACAATGACGACGATGAAGTTTATTTAAAAATTTAAATGATGAAGTAATGTTTTCTTAACTATTAGATGTAAGTAAAATATTCATTTAGTAATTAAGTTTAGAAAATAAATAAATAGTTTATTATCACTAGTGTCTTGTTTATTGTGACAACCAGAGGCGGCGTAAGGCGTGGGCGACGTGGGCCTCCGCCTACGGCCTCGCGCTCTAGGGGGCCTCGCGCCCTGGAGGTTTATGCTTTACTTAAAACCGTAAACGCGACGAAAAAATTTCATCGTCATGAATCAATATTATTGACATAACTAAATATGTTTTTATTCAGTCTAGCAACATTAGTTTGCGTTGCTATTGCGGGGAATCCCCGCTGCGGGGCGACATGTACATATACAATAATCTATGGGGGCGAAAAAGGCTGAGGATTCCCCGTTCTGTATGTTAGACATAGAATATTGACTTTATTTAATCGTGGGCGCGTAGCAATCGAGTAAAGAGTGCGGTACAGGAGCCCACGTGGTTGCTGTACGTATATTTTCGCGCTGTACGCACATGAGTAGCTAAACGAAACAGACATAAAGCTTCTTAAGGACTTGCAAAATTGTTACCTATTTTGGTAGCGTTTTCACTATAGGTGAAAACAAATTAAAGCTCTAGAACTTTTACGTACATTTTGTGACTGGATTAAAGAATATCGACAAACTTATTTCGAAAAATGCTTGTCTGGTTCTCAACAGTTTATTGAAGAAAAAAAAACTGTTATGATCTGCCAAAAGACTTTAAAAATAGAAGAGTAGCCAAAAACAAAAAGAAAGTCTCCTAAAAGTCAGTATGAAACAGAATTTTTCAACACCATGCTTGTTTAATTACATTGAGTTATACAACTAGAGGAGCAAACCACATTACCGCGCGTCGAAAAATGTGTAACCACTATCCAATCGCGACGACGTAGCTTTGAAACTAATAACAATTTTAAATAAACATATATCTATCTCACTTACACAAGTTACGTAAACAATATCGTCGCTAAAATTAGATAAAGATAGACACACAAACATGCAATGGCGGGTTGGTGTGGCTTACTATATAAAATTTTACCTAAAATACGCAATAAAAATGAGTTTTTTTTAAGCTTCAATTAATTGTTTTTATATTAAGAAAGTATATTTTATTTTAAAATCTTTATTGCGTCCCCTTAGAAAAAAAGAATACAAAGCTTATCAGATGAGTTAGAAGTACATAATGATGAAATAAAACGTATTTTTATAAATATTTTTTACTGTACTAATAAATCAAGTAATATAAAATAGGTAGTGAAATATAATTAATATAAAATTTATATGAAATTTTAATTAATATAAAATTATTAATATAAGATATAAGGTAGTAAAATATATTTAATAGATAATTCATGAATAAAATAAAATAAGAATAATTATTTTGTATAAAGGTTGAAACATAGTTTTTATTTTTAAGCAATCAATTTTACTTGTTTATTTTAAAACAAAATTAACTTATTCCATAAATTATACAGTCTCCCATTAATGTGGAAAAATCACAAAGGCGGAAAAGTGGCAACATTGAACCTAAATTGCAATATTCGATATTTTATTTAATTTTTTAGTGTTTTATACGTTAATATGAATATATAAATTAAAACTTACGTATGGAAAGTGATTCCGCTTGATTTATTATGTTTTTGTGACCTTGAAACGCATTCTTTCACTACGCATTTACCCATTTTTTGTTGTGAATCGTTCGGCTTAACTCGGACGGCGTCACCTTGAACACTGAACCGACGTTCGCTGAGTATAAGGCTGTGGCCTTATGTGAAGTGACAACGCTTTGGCGCGGAAATTACTTATCTAGTGTAACATATAAATCAATGTTTAATTATAACAAATATGGATTTGAGATTTATGGCTTTAAACCCACATTATGAAAATTTTGGTTTCCTTTATGATTTAAACAAGTTAAAAAATATTCCAAACCATCTAATATTAAAATAACTGTCAAGATTTACAAACAGCCCTGCAAGTGGGTGAAAGCAGTGATTTTAAACCTTACGAATTATACGAATAATTACAATCCATGATACCTAGTTTCTTAACATATTATGTGAAACAGCTTCTCCAATACGTTACAGAAAATAATTTAAAAAAATATACCAAACATTTACATCGTCATTTAACAATACCGATCAGTACAGCCTCCGGTGAAGGAAGCTTCTTAAAATGAAAACTCATTAAAAATTGTCTCAGGAATGTAATGTCGTGCAAAATTAAGCATAAAAAGCAGAATATCTATTTCTTCATTTTTCTTTGAAATTATTTGTTGTTGGTACTTAATGATTTTGTATGAATAAAAATTGCATAATGTCAAGTGTTTTGTTTTCCATTTTATATAATCCGTCTTCTTGCGCAGGCAGGGGGCCACGCAAAATGTATCTTGCCTACAAAAAATTTAGGTCTTGCGCCGCCACTGGTGACAACCCTATCCAATACGCATGTTTTGTATGAAAATCGTTACCGATCCTGTGGCAACTTGACCTAGTATCCAGGTTTACCAGTTTTTATTATAAATCCAAAGTGGGTTACTATGCTTTAAAATCCGAAAACGTAAAATATTGGCAATTTGACCTACAAAAGCTACAAAAATTGATAAGTAGGTCAAGATGCCACAAATGTGTCAACTTGACCTCTGTTACTTTTTTTTAAATAGAATGTCAGGTTAAATGAATTTCAAAGAAATAACTAGTGAAAATGGATGATTAAGTTATTGTTGCTATATACAAATCATAAATTGTTTAAGAAGTCTGTCTGGGTTATAAGTATATCAAAAACGTTAAAAAAAATGTGGTCAAGTTGCCACATTTCACGGTACTTAACTCTGTTGGAAGGTTTTATGTAGGTACAAAACTTACTTTGATTTCTAAACTAATTTTCGTACCTTTCAATGACGTTAAACGCCGAAGATCATCACAAAGACGCCAAAAACTTTGTTTATCTAACCTAAAACGATGAACAAATTCCAATTCCTCCATCTCCACAATTTGCACCATTTTACGACGATTTCTCTTGTTTGACGTCTTTGCAATGTTGTTTCATTATTAGTTGTCCATAATAATCTCAAAGTGTGCATTTTCACTAATTAATTTGAATCAAAGAAACAAAAATATTACTGTTTACTCGTTTCTAGCGTTAGCCCGTCAGGGTAAATGTATTCTGTGAGCGTTAGCATCTGGGTCCGATCTTCCTATATATACTTATTATACTCTTTGGTCCGATCTCCCGCTAATATAGCGTGTTGCGGAAACGTCAAAATATCATTGGCGTTTGTCAAAAGTGGCAATTGTCTACTATTTTGATGAACATTTTTGTCGTTAGCGTGTCACGCTCACTTCGACGTTCCTTTCCGCATGAGGATTGAGGAATAATGACTTTGTCTACCAATTAAGCAGCAATCACGTGACATCTGATTAGCAAATGTCAACCAACTCCATACAATTAGATTTTTTCGTTGGCGTTAACGCTTACAGAAAATGGATTTTGTCTAGGCCCCAAGTTTTGGGAACGATACTGAAGCATTTTTTTTAAAAATAGCTACAAAATATATCTCTATGACGTTTAATAACTATTACATAACAATTATGTATTAAAACTAATTCAGCGCAATAATGACTGCTCGGCTCACATTCCCGTTACGAATCACCATTTCCATGATGGGAGCGAAATTTGAAATGGTGTACAATAAATTTGGGACTTCAGGTAAGCCAATCACAAAGCCCCCCGGTCCGCAGGTTGGTTATAGCTAGGTTAATCGGAATTTCAGCGTCAGACAGCTCAGAGCCAGGGCATAAGATAAATCTTTAAAATAGTACAACAAAATTTTTATGAAATAGGTATATAAATAAAACAAATTATCTTCACTGTTAGTGATATAACACTTTCAACAAAGCACAAAACAAACTTGGTACAGAGGTTATAATTTGAAAACATTCGCTGCTACATATACAATAATAAATAACGTAAGTAATAAGTATGTGACTTAAAATAATTAGGATAGCTATAAAGTATTAACGACCACGAATCAATCACTGCACTGATAGGGAATCTACCATATTAAAATTTATACGAATCACGTCATTTACTAGTGATGACTTATTTTGCCAAAAAAAAAAAAAAACGGAATCACATATTTTATATGTTTAATTGAAAACTATGTATACTAACTACGACTTAGTTTAAAAATTTGTACTGAATTTGTAATACAAGTGAATAGATGGTCCAGATAATTAATACATCTAGGGGTGGATAAACATCTAATAATAAGTTGTAAAACTTAAATACAGTTTATGAAAAGTGTAAGCCACGGTCACTGTATTGTTACAAGCATTCAAACTATTTTCATTTATAACACAGAAGCATGAACAGAAATCTGCTGAAAGTTTTCTATTCATTTTTATATTTATAAGTATTATACATAATCAGACACATTCGCAGACTAGTCTATAGAGGAAAGCAAACCTTATTAATACCTTCAAATGGCACATATAAATATAAACCATAGACAAACGCTTATTTAAGTACTCATGTAGGTATTCTTTACTAATTTGATATATAATAATAAAATCATTGACTTTACTCCCGGTAAAGATGCAAATTGCTGGTATGTCACATAATATGATCGAACGTTAGTAAGAAGTAAGTAATTGGTAACCTGTGGAATGTATATTCGAATTTCGAATCAGCAGAATTTAAACAGTCATATAATTAGGAACGAAACAAAGTAAAGTTTATGGAAATAATTACCTAATTTAGAGTTATTTAATAGAGAAGGGATTTTAATGACAGCATCATATGTTATTATATGTTAATATAACATATTAGGATTTGTTAATACCAAAAAATAAATATTTAATGAAATTTCGTATAGAGTTCTTAGTTTTATTAGGTACGAAAAGTTAACAATACTGTATGTGTCGACTTCCGTGAAGTCGTAAAGTTCAAATATATAATTGTATGGAATATACTATAGATACTACAATGTATAATTGCATGGAACAAAAATACTGAATACGAAAACATAACTAATACGGCAAGACGTCATGTTTGTTAATAAAGTCTCAAATAATTTTTTTGTCTCACAGCGGGGAATGTAACCACCGTTAAAAAAAATTAACAGCTCTATCCTAATGGAGCTTTTGTTACATTAATTAGATTATAAATGAACATCAACTATACTCTTAAAATATCAACGCTGTTAAGTACTCCCTAATTAAGTACTTTTAGTTTGGGAACAGTTTAATACTAAAAATGTTTATTAGGCCCCTTAACATACAAAATATTATTAAAAGTAACTAATAAATAGGGTAATATAATTTTAATAAATAATTTACTATTTGTTTAAACAAATATCAGATGCTACTGGTTAGAATAACATCATTGTGTTAATCTATAAAAATATTAAAAATTATAGAGCGAGAATAAAGATATAAGAGCTTTTGACATTATTAAGTCGTAAAGTAGTTGCTTGTTAAGACGTTTTCGAGCCATAGTCCACCCCTTTTTGCCACGTTAAACAAAACAATTGTAATAATAACATACTTATAGTAAGAATCTCTTTGGCACCAATCCTTTGGCTCGTAATCTAATTACAGAGCTAATCTGCAACCACAATTTCTGCTCAAAAATTATAACTGATTTTAAATACCAGTGATATTAGTAATCGGTTTTATAAATTACTATTAAGTTAAATTTGATAAATAGTCCTTAAATTAATAGCTACTTCGAATAGGTGCTATTAGTAATCGGTTTTACAAATTACAATTAAGTTAAATTTGAAAAATAGTCCCTAAACTAATAGCTACTTCGAATAGGTGCTTACCGTAAAATGACCTATCAACTTTCCATTTAAGAGTTGTTGTCATGGGTCCGACACTTGAAAGTTCAAATTTTTTACGCATTTCATCGTTTTAAGGATAGAGCGTCCGATTAAAAGGATATTTGACAAATGCAGTCTCTCAACAAAAGTACGTACCATTTCATCTTGCATATTTCGGGAAATTATATCTAATCTAAATTTTTAATTTTAACTATAATTTCATTCGATGCTTAATTGTATAATGAATACCTAATTAAGACGAATTTTTTTATGAAAGCGATTCTGTCATTTTTAAAGCAAAAATAAATAAATAAATCGAACTTACAATTTGACACCAAAGGGGAAGTTGATAGGAGAAAAGGGGTAGACGAATCGCATACACATTCATTTTTAGGATGCTATTAATACAGACCGAGATAACTTACAAGAAACAATAATAGATACACTTACTACTAATATACTAAGAATATCGCAGACATTCGAACTAACTTACTTGAAGTGGTCATACAGAAAGTATGAATTCAATACAACTAATAATATACAACCAAAAGTAAAACAACTATATAGGGATTGGCAACCGGTTCCAAATTAACTTTAACTTTCTTTTTTACCCGACTCGACTACCTCAGAAGGGGGTAATTACTAATTATCTTCAAGTGTATGTACCTATGTAAAAAAAAAAAATAATAAAAAATTTTTATCCCAATAATAATTAAAAACTAAGTCACACTAAATCTTACGAAAAAAATAACTTTACTAATAAGACTTTAAATATTTATTATTACTAATACGTAATTCAATAAAAATAAAGAAAAATGAACTTTATTTCAAGCAGTAAAGAAACAAAATTATAAATAATCAGTCATAAAAATGTTTAACTAAAAATTCAGTTATGTATTATGATTATAAAATAATATACTAATTGGGGTGTCTGAAGGTGTGCTTAATTACGTTACATATTGTATATGTACGTATGCCTATTTCAATGCTACGCTTTGTAGCCAAAACGGCTTGGATTTTAATATGGCTGGTAATGTTAGATACTTGCGTCTTGTGAAAGTCGCTTCCATGGAGTATAACTTTTTTTCTTTTTAGTAAAGCCCTTAAAGCAGTCGCGATTTTTAAAAATTGTTTTAACCATTGGACTTGTTTAGGATAAGGTTTGAATAACGGTTCTACTTTTCAGTACGGCAGTAGGATTGCGTAACTGGAGAAAATTATGGTGTGTTTCGTTGTATTGCGCAAATGTCAATATAAATTGTTTATTAACTAGCTTTCCTCTCTGTTTGTCTGTAAGTTTGGTATAAATATTGCAATCGATTTCAAATTAACATTACGACGAGACACTTTAACTTTAAATATAGCTCAGAACTGGATGAAAATGCAATATAAGCCTGCTGTATTGTCCGTCTGATATGACGTTTCTTAGATTGTCTAATTATCTATTCGTGATAAAATATGCAATCGATTTTGAACTAACTTCCTGAGAGAACTGAAAAAGTGGTAAAATGGTAGCCATTTTTCTTTCTTTCTTTCTTTTTTTAAATATAATACAATAGATTCCTAACGGCAAACAGTTTTCACCAGAGTTATAGAATCGCACTGCGGTTTTGGTTAAGTAAATGGGTTTTACAATACCGTTTTCAAATACCGATGGCGCGATGATTTAAAAGTTCCCAGTTAAGGACGGAAGGCTTCATGGGTTTACAGTTTAGTTTTATTTTTATATTTGTACAGAAAATAGTGTACTATAACTATACGATAGCTTCGCCTCAATTATATTATTTTGACTATCATTATTTGAATTTAAGCATGTTTTTTTTATGTTAGCAAGGGTGACAAACTGTCTGTGTCTGTGTCTACCTGATGTTATGTGAATGCTGAAGTTTAATCATGAACCGATGAGTTTTCACCCTTTAGGATTAGACATTCGGTCTTAGGCTAAAATAATTACAACGCACGGTACCGGTAAAAATTTGTCTCCGGTAGTCGTAACTTACCCCTATGAAACCTGGAAGCATTTAGCTGTTATTTAACGTTGATATTTTGTGAGAGTATGGATACTTTACGTTAATCACGTCAAAACTTGTTTAGCTCGTATACCGGTATAATCGGGAAAAATACAGATTTTAGGGTCGGTTTATCTTCGAGTTCAATCTTCTTTACAGTTATTTTGGA